TCCAATCATTTTCGTTAATTGGCATAGCATCGTTTGTGATTGTAAATTTGCATTTTTTAAATAAAAATGCATACAAGTATTAACTGATCGTTTTATTTCATGCAGGTAAAAATACCGTAATAGCTTGCATTTGAATACTCCCGTTTCATCAGCCGACACGCGCACTTCTTTTAGCACTCGTGCGCGAATTATGCTAATCACAGGTGGCGCATCTAATCACTTAACAACGCGGTCAAGGTAAACTGGTATTGTTCCCGCGTTTAGTTTTTTTTTTCCATGTATTACACTTCCTTCATCAATATTCGAGCGATATAAACGACAGTTTATATAACATCGTATGACATGTAATTCGCAAAAGTAAGTATAATAGAAAGTAATAATGTAAAGCCCTCTCCTCTTTTTTATAATGTAATATGTGTTTATTGTATATCGTATTATATTGAAAAATAATTTTTAACGCTTTAAAGTAGCCACCATTTTTTTTAACATTATTATTTTTAACATTATTATTAACAGATTATTTTTTACAAAAAATAATTTTTGTAGCGACCTTATCGCTATTATCTTCCCGTATCATTCACGTGCAAAGTGTATGAATATTTCTAATACTATCAATCATAAAGTAATATAAATTAAAAAATTTTAATAAATAATACTTAATAAAAATGGAAATAAAAAAAGTCAGATATGAGTTGTCATCGCAAATTAATAGCTAATACAAATATTTTTATGAGGAAGACATAAAAGTTAAATATAGAGAGTTATATTATTTATATCGAATATAATAAAAATACGAGATATTAAATCGAGAATAAAGCATCTTCGCGATGTATAATGATACATTACAGACTTGTTCTGTGATGAATCACATGTTATGCGAGATAGAGATAGAGAGTATCTTCTGTCCAAAGTTTCCTTCTTCTTCTTCTTTCTTTTATGGCTGGTTAGGCATTAGTCGCCCATACACCATTGTTTCTTATGGGTTTGTAAGATATAAGCAAAAACTCCTCTTAAGAGAGGAGGAAGTCCAAAAAAAAAAGGTCCAGACAAAGGACATACGCAGTACGCAAAAACACGTCCAAACCCGACACGTTGTCAGTCGGAACAGGTGTCCAAAGTTTCCTCGCACGTAGACATAAACCCTAATAACAGACTGTCGACAGCGTGTCGACGACACATTCGACGTGCACATCCAGCACCCTCAAAGATCATCCCCAAGACTATTGTCTTCCCGCTACGTCTATCTTGAGACGCATCCAAGATGCACTTTCCCCAAGTTTCCCTATCCTTATATCTTTCCGCGATTCGCCTCCCTTTTTCTTCGATGCTCGCTCTGCTTTGTAGAACGCAACGAGATAATGCAATTCAGAAGACTCGACTATAATGCGATTCGCGACGTTTCCATTAAAGACACGCCGGGCTTTTGTCAGAAGGATTTACGATGTCTTTAATTCACAAAAGATCTCTTTTGATATTAATATAATGCCTTTGATGTCATATTACTGCATGAGATATAATTACGCAGTGCTTAATAAAGATATCTTATCGCACCAATTCTTGTAAAATAATGTCACATATATATATATATATATCATCTGATATAAAATTGAAATTTTTCTGATATATATATATATCAGAAAAATTTCAATTTTGTAAATATTTATATAGAACAATTTACACTTTTTTTAAGTTACAAGCTGCTTTCTCGAAGATTATTAAAAATAGCGACAAAATTCTCTTTTGGTCGTTGAAATTCTTTATGAAACAAATTGTTGCTAAATTTTCATCAGTTTTATCAAACAAAACCGTTTCTTATTTTTTTTTAAATTGTTTTTTCCGTTGACTATCATATTAAATATAAAATAAGTTATTAAATTAAATTAATAGAAAAAACTTATTATATATAAGATAATATTATATTACGTAAAATAACGCTGTGATTGAGAAACACTTTATTCTGAGTATTAATTGAGCAAAAAAATTGAGTGGACGCAACAGTATCTTTCTATTAAAAGGCTTGGAAAAGCTCTCTATTTCCTTTTCTCTTGTATCATATTTCTCATTTTCTTGTCTCAACTTTGCAAACACGAGCGAGCGCGCGTTCTGTCGTCGCTCTGATGCATTCACGAGCAAATAGATAACTCGCGCAATGCCCTGCATCGGGAAGGTGTGTACCTAAAGTGACAAACGGTCCACACGTGCCCATCTTTGTGTCGGCAGGTTGCTTTTGTTGAACCGCGCTTGTATTGTTCCGTTAAAAGAACCATCTAACGCGTCGAGTTTTGTACAGTTTTCTTGGCCGCGATGTGTTCGCGATTGAAATTTCGGATTGCGTATTGTCTTCAAAATTAATCCGAATTAAGCCGTTTCTTTTGTAAAAATTAAATTATTATTAAAAAAAATTATTAAATTGTTAAATTTCTCTCTTTCCATGTCTGTATATTAATAATTTAAAGCTAAAAATGCAATATTGTGAATCATTATTTCACGACCAATTTCAATAAAAAATTCGATATGTGCCTAATATGATAGAATCTAATCCTTATATAAATATTTAGATAAATAAATATATTAACACATATACACACACATACAATTATAAATATGTATATCTTTTTTATATCAAATGTAAAAGACAATTTAATTTAGTATTAATTTATTTACTTAATATATATTTACTAATAAGACATTAAGTCTGATTTCGATTATAATACATCATGGATTATGTCATTTATTCTGACAAATGCATTTATTATTGTACTCACAAGATGCATCATCATCCTCAACCCTCATTTGTAAAATATGAACAAAATCGAATAGCGAGTATCGCCAGAAAACGTTCCAAATTCTTTCATGTGTAAAACTGCGCTGGAATCCACCATGCATTTATTGTTCGCGAACGTGAACATCTGCGACTATTCACACGAATCGAGAATTTCGATATATTTCATTGTTTCTGGTATATGTTCTTATATACGAAGCATTTTAAGTTTTACCTCAATATGCGTGTATATATTTATATATTTTATTTTATTACTATTAATCCTTAGGTATCTATTCAAATCTTGTAAAAAAATTCCCTGAAAATTTAGTGATTTTATAAATATTTTTACTAATTAATAGATATTTTTGTTCAAAATTCCTAGTTAAAGAGAATATTTTAAAGATTTTTTGGTGTAATTTCCTCAAATAAGTTTTTTTATTGTACACGTTTTCTAACCTTTTTCGCTCATACGAAGGAAAAACACAAAGCATTTAAGTTTCAAGTTAGATTTACAAATGTATTGAAAACAAGACTGAATAGCTTTCGTTAAGATAAAAATTTTTAACTTGAGGAAATTTTTAAGACATTAAATTGTATAAATAAAGATAGATATAATATTTTAAACACATAATTCAACTTGGCTTATCGGCGGATTGCAGACTGCTTACAGTATAAGAGCAAAGTTATTACGGAGAAAATTTTTAAAAAAATTTCCCGTGTTCCAATAAAATTCCATGCGAATTCCCTGATTTCTCCAGGTACAAAAAAATTCCCTGAAAATTCCAAGTTTTCGAGGGAATAAACACCCTGATTACTAATCCATCGAATGATCTAATCGTTGGATATAACTATTTACTTTGAATATCGTTTCCAAACATTTTTTAACACAACAACTTATACGCAAAATCGAGATACAAACGAAGCTGAAGTGGAAAAGCGATTGCATTGCAATCCGGGGATGCAACAATGTCGCGAGTGTGTGCACAATCGAGAGGGCAAGCACTCCCATACGGTATCAAAGTATGTGTATCTCCTACACGTAGCAAATACGCAACGAGCAAATAACGGCAGGTAACAGTACGATGAGACGGCGGTCCCCGTCGTCGTCGTCGTCGTCGTATCGAGGAGGAAGAGGAAAATAAGGGTGGAAGAGCAAATATACATAGCGTGCGGTTTCCTCGCCTTGTTCCTCCTGCGATTCAATTCCGCTTCTACACGCGCACGCAGACATATGCTACTCCTTTCCCTCGAAATAACGTCGATAACACGCGACCACCCGATATTCGCGTATCGAAATTCCGATCGTTCAACGTCACTTTCCAACTAGCTCGATCGACAGGCGAACGTCGTTTTGCGTGCGTGGCAGCGGGTTTCCGGTCCGAGGGGTTCCTTCCTTTGATCGTGATCTTGAGGGTGAAGCGTGTACGTCAAGAGTCGTCGCCGGAAATAGGCGATGAAACGAACGATTTTGAAGCGAAAAAGCGAGGAAAATGGTCGTTTTTAAGCGCACCACGTAATCTAAAATCTCGCTTTAGCGAGAGGGAGAAGGAGATATCGATTCACGGAAAGAGTATCTTAACCGCGAAAAAAGAGGGCAAATATATATTTTAGTAATCCTCGACTGTAATATATATCCGAGAGATGTACATGGGAAATTATAACGTTCATGAAAATATGCAGTGATCATCATCTTATTTTAAATTTCTGCTTCAAAATCATCCGATTATAAAAAGACAGTTTGTAATTTTTTACAAACGTAATTGCAAAACTCGTAATGGCGTCAAGCGACATGCAAATAGAAATAGAAATAAAAATTGAAATTAATAATCAGAAATAAAAATTAATAATCGAGAATGAATAACGTTTCTAAACAGCAACACTCGACATCATTTAGCTTGTCTCTATCTTTTTAATCAAAACTCACTACTATAAACATTTTTCTAAATATTTTTGCTTTTGTCTCGATCTTTTAAAAAAATGAAAAAGTTCTAGAAAATATTTAAAAAGGCCATTTTTAATCTCTTAAATGTCCTGAATATCTTTTTAGACTTCTCATGAAACTTTGCACTATATTTAATCAATAAATAATTCTTCAAGATAATTATTTGCTAATATAATGACACATTACAAACATCACGAGAAATATTTAATTTCTTCCGGATATTACATCTCCTGTTATTCCTCTTTCGTTATTCATTCACGCTTTTAAGATTGTTTAATAATAAAACAGACTCACCACCATCACTGCGCTGCGCGATGCCTCTCTTGTCCCCTTTTCCCATATTTTCTTCTCCCGCTGCTCCCTTTAGGATGAGATGCTCGTTCCTTGGGTCCCACCTGAAACCCAATTGCAAAAATATTTTGTTATTTGACTACGCTCGTTCTCCGTATATGTAAAATGAGTATATATGTACGAGTGCATCTCGCTATTCGTGATAGTGACACGGTCCTTTTTTATTCCCTCATGTAAACACGGTCCCTATTCTCCGCACTGATATATACATATAAAGCCCGTCGCAAAAGGCAAATGACGAGATACCGACTGCGCGATATGAAATTGCGATCGTTTTGCGATTGCAAAGAAACACCCTGAGTGCACGTGTTCATTGTGCATATGGAGATCGATCGTGACGTTGAGTTTGATATAGTTTGTGGATAAATAAAATAACATTCGATAAAACATGAATAGAGGATGTGATATTTATATATATACTTGTATTTAATAGTTATAATTTTTAAATATTATGCGTCGCATGTAATCAAATATTACATAATATTATAATTCAGTTTAATTAGGTCAGTGATTTTACAAATCTTTATTTATATTTAGATTAATAATTTTACAAATTACTCTCGAATCGACACTTTTTGATAAATACTAATTTATATTAATATAATCTTCTAATAATTGCCATCATATATAATAAATTTATGTATATAAAATATTATTGTTGTGAACAATATCAAGAATATGCTATTACAATATATAAAAGCGTATTTAATAAAAAATAAAGATTATTAGTATTTTTAATATGTATTTAATATATATCACACATTAATATCTTGTTACTTTTATATCGAAATTTTCTAAAGCATAAATTTATAAGATTTTGTGACCAATTATATATATAAAATAAATATATTAATTAGAAGAAGCATTTCCTGTGATATTCTTATCATATTAAAACATTAAAAGTAATTATCATAAGCTGCACCTGGATAAATTTATTTCTCTAAATTATTCTCATCTTTGATTCCAAATATAGATGTTTATTTATTGTTTGGCATAATCTCGCAGTGTAGTGATACACAAAAGGTCCAAAGGGAGCCATTTTGCCGCCTGCCATAGGGAAAAGCCAATGTCGCATTTCACGGAATGAAGATTTATCGCGCGTCATTAAATATGTCCAATTTCCTTACAAGTTTCTCCCGGGAAGGATTTTATCGTGCTGCGGACACGACTCGAAAATATGGATGCGTAACGGTTATAGTTATCCTTCACCGCTATACCGTCGGCCTGATTCAATCTCCACGCACGAACGCAACAACCATCACCGTGAAAAAAAAGGGATAAGTCTTTGAAGGATCTGGCTCTCTCGTAAAAATATGATACGAGCAACTATACGGTTTAAAGCCGACGCAAACGTGATACCTACTCACGAGCGAGATATTACACGTCGGCAAGGAAGGAGAGTAAAAGGATAGGAAGAGAGAACTTCGTTCATATTTTTGAATTTCGCGAACCTTTGTGCCGTCATCTCCTCTTCCAAGCCGGATCAAATTTACGCACGTATCACTGTGAAGCGATGCACCAACTGTGCATGCACTTGTAACGGAATCAAGCCGTCGAAGCGACACTTTAACAATGTCTATATAGGGGAAAGTAGGGTAAAACGGGGTACTTTTTTGGATTTGTCTTCCTACAAAAAGTCAGAGAGTAAAAAAAATTTTGCTGACCACTAGTAGTCTTTAGTGGACCTTAAACTATGAGAAAATGAGACTAGTTGCTAAAAAAAAATATTTGGTTACCAAGGATACCAAGATTTTTTAGAGAAAAATACCCGGTTTTGCCCTACCGATAAGGTAAAATCGGGTACCCATTTAAAAACATGAAAAACACCGTGCAATTACAAAATCTAGATTTATTTTAATTAAAATACAATACAAAGATGTATTCTATTGACATAAATCACAAATAAAGATATCCTTTTGTTCTACATTGCTGCAGGATTTTCATATTTAATTTTTTAACTTTAGGGAACTGAAAAAGCTTTTTTTTTTTTTAGTGGTTTCTTTTTCTGAGTGGTAATTTTCGTTTTCAACTGCTTTTTGTTGGGAGACAAAGTCAGGATAACAGCTTTTCCTCTTTTCATTACATGAGATATGTAGATATCCGGTTTTGCCCTACAACACGAAGAAAATAACAAACAACGGCGGCTGTATATTCCGGCGTACAAAGTGACGATCAAAATTAATGCGATATACTCTCTAATATGTACAGAATGCAATGCTGCATTTACCGAAGCAGATGCTCTGTGTAGAAAAAGTTCATAACGACTCGATTGTTGCCTCGATATTGATCTTTTTTTGCCCGAAAATTTTGAATTTCTCTCAAAAAAGAAATGTCGTGTGCACCTGGAAACGGTACATCTCAAAATAATGATGGTATTAATCTACAATTAATAACACGAGTTAGCCAAAGATAGTAGCACTTATCACGAAGAAACAGAGGTACCCGGTTTGACCTGTCTGCTCGGTTTTACCCTACTTTTCCCTATTTATTGAAAAATTTGTAGCGTAATAATAACGAGGCAAATTAAGAGGATACTGTAATTTTCGAAGTACACAGAGTCGTATCAGTCTGCTGGATAAAATCATCGTGATTTTTTAGTAATTAAAAATACTGGCGAACAGAAGTACGGAATATCTCGGATCTACAGAGCATCGGAAAGGAAATTCTAGCATAATGCTAACATATGTAACGTCTACTATATTATGCCGGTCACGTGCTATCGGCGAAGAGAACGACTCTGTTAATAAAACAAAACGGCGACGCGTGATTCCATTTTTCCTGCAACGCAAGCCATAACTCTGCGAATGTGAAAGAAAGCAAGATGGAAAAGATCAGCGATGAAACGTGAATTCTACTCGGTTTCTTACATTTTCCTTGTTTTTCGGCGATAAATCATTTATATGTACGAACTAAAATGATGGTCAAACATTTCGTGATCGCGTTTCCTTTATTATTGTTCAGTTACGTATCTGAAATGTACAACAGAAAATATTATTTGTCGCCAAATCGAAACAAAGGACATGTTTAATCCCATAGAATTTAATTTCAAAAGATATTAATATATATATAATATATGCAATTATTATTATATATTATATTCATATAAAAA